GATCTTGCCTGTCTTCTTATCCAATCCATCCATCTGCTCCATCCATCACACGACGTACTAGTATCACATTGAATGGTGTGTGATTTTCACTCCCTTGATATCCAGTCCCTGCCTCCTTCCACCCCTCCGACCATCCACCCCTCCTTCCTTCCCTCCTATCATCCCTCCTATCATCCCTCCTATCATCCCTCTCCTCCTTCCATCCCTCCTACCATACATCCCTCCTTGCATCGGATTCCTTCCTACCATCTCTCCCTCCTTCCATCCCTCCCTCCTTCCATCCCTCCTACCATCCCTCCCTCCTTCCATCCCTCCCTCCTTCCATCCCTCCTTCCATGCCTCCTCCGTCCATCCCTCCTTCCCTCCTTCCCTCCCTCTCTCCCTCCCTCAATCCCTCCCTCCCTCCATCTATCTAGAATATGGATCGAATCCACTTATCCATTCAATGGCTCCGATCCATGCAATCAACGCGATAAATCCACCCCCATTCCAATCCATTCATCAATCTGTCCTTTGTCCTCTTCTCAACAACAACAAACAAACACATTGCCTTCTTTGGCAATTAACCCGTCATTTCCTAACCTTGGGGTGAGCAGTCTCAATACCACACCCACCACCCCCACCACCACTTCAACAACTCCCTATCCCTATCCCTCTCCCTTACCCTCCCCCCTCCCCCTCCACTCTCCCCACCCTCTTTTACTCCCAATCCGGTACCCAATCTCCCGCCCATTTCCTCGTCAGAAAGGGCTTCGCTTCCCCATCGCTCAACTCTCGACTCCATCCCACCCGTCCGCTTCTCTCTGCCCCTGGGCCAGAGCACTTGTACTCCGCAAAGAATGCGCTTTTCTGCCGCTTGGGAAAGCCGAAGTCATTCCACCCCTCCGGCGCGATGACGTCAGCGAAATAGGTGTAGGCGAACACCGTCACGGGTTTCTTACCCCATGCTCGTCCCAACAAATTACGGAGGTAAATTTTTTTGTCCGAGCCCATCACTTTCCCACTCAGGAAGACGAATCCGCTGTCCTGTTTCTTCGACTCTTGCTTCTGGGCTGTGAGAGACCCCTGGCCGCGGGAGAAGAGCCAGCAGTCCTCAAACATAGCGCGAGCGTAGCCGCAGATGAAGTCCACGGAACCGTAGATCATACAGTGACGATAATACTGCGTTCCCTTGTGGGCATACAACTGCAAAGAAGAGGAGGGCGGGGGGGGCGGGGGGGGCGGGGGCGCGAAAAAAAGAAAAAAAGAAAGAAAAGAAAGAGAGAAGGAGAAAGAGAGAAGGAGAAGGAGAAGGAGAAGGAGAAGGAGAAAGAGAGAAGGAGAAGGAGAAGGAGAAGGAGAAAGGAGAAAGGAGAAAGGAGAAAGGAAGTCAGTGATAATCATGAAGTAATTATTAATTAATTAATTAATTAATAAATTGTAAAAAGAAGTCGAAGCTGTAGAAAATACGGTGTCTATAATACTGCGTTCCCTTGTGCGCAAAAAAAAACAACAACAAAAAAAAAAAAAAAAAAAAAGAAGACGAAGAAGAAAAGAAGAAAAGACAATGAGAAGGAGAAGAAGAAAAGACAATGAGAAGGAGAAAGAGAGAGAAAAGAAGTCGGCGATAATAATCATGAATAAGAAAAAGAAAGAAAAAACATGACCGTGGGTTCCACCAGCAAATGAGGATTGCATTGAATGCCTTCATCTGGACGTTTTTGCGGAGAGGTGCAGACAAAAAAATCTACTTCGAACGGCATTTTTTCTGCATCTCTGCATAAAAATCGTCCAGGTGGAGTTATGTCTTCTTTCCTTGCATGCCCGGCAAACGAGGACACCGACAACTCGGCGTAATGCTGAGTTTTTCTTTATTTAGCCGCCACCTGCTGGATTCGAAACTGGGTGTGTGCTGCTGGTGGCTTTGGTATGTTATCCCTTTTTTTTTAATATAGGTTAACATTTTTTTATTTTATTTTTAACCGATCATTTTTTCATTTTGTTTTTAGGTCAACAATTTTTTTTTTTTTTTTTTTAACCCGATCATCTTCTTTTGATTGCAAGCCGGGAACCGGGCCCTATCCAGTTTAGAAAAAATCAGAAAAAAAACTCTCTCTCTCTCTCTCTCTCTCTCTCTCTCTCTCACACACACACACACACACACACACACACATACACACACACAATGTACTGTCATCATTCGGATTTTTCTTCTTCTTCTTCTTTTGCCCTCCAAAAATCGTCCGGCTGCGCTCTTTATTAAAAAAAAAAAGAAAGGATAATTTGCAAAATACCCACGTACGTTGAGATGTATGCGAAAATGCCCCCCCCCCCAAAAAAAAAAAATAGCAAAGAAAAAAACAACTCCAATGCTGCCTTATTCATTTTTTTTTTTCAGCAAAAAGGAAAGAGAGATTACTTTTATTATTTTTATTTTTTTTCAGCAAAAAGAAAAGAGAGAGCTACATATTCTTCTTTCAATTTCACCTCACATTACCTTCCTACCGCCACTCCTAATTATAGTCATACCGCGTCCTGTTCTTTTTTTTTTTTTTTCTGGAAAAGGTTACGGCCTTTTTTGTTTTTCTTTTTCAGAGTTTTTCTTTCCTTCTCAAAGGGCGACGGACGGTCTCATTACCGAACTGAACGGCCCAAGGTGTGACTCAGAATTGTGGTAGGTAGGTAATCTGAGGTGAAATTAAGAGAAGAATGTACCTCTCTAAAAAAAAAAAAAATAGAATAAATAAATAAATAAATAAATAATAATAATAATAATAATAATAATAATAAAAAAGGGTACGGCATTTTATTTTACTTACGGTATTTTACTTATCTGGAGCATGGTCCCACTAGCAACCGGATAGGATAGAAAAGAGGTTGTATGGCATTTGAGTGACCCAAATCCTGCCGTGCAGTACTCTTGAGTGATCCACGGTCAGTATTTTTCATGTATTACCTAAAAAAAAAAGTAAGGAGATCTTGGTTCCCCTCCTCCTCTCCTTAACACTGGACATGCCTGTGCAAAGGAAGCTTCCCGCCAAAATCTTTTCAATCCGTTGGGGGTCTGGCCAACCCCAAAAGAGGGTGGGGTCGTCCATAGGCCCACTGGATAGAAGATTTTCAGTATTATTCTTGCTGTTGTGCAATAATTATCTCATTGGGTGGGTGAAGCCCTCTTTCAATCACGGAGTATATGGAGGGTGTCAGCATCAAAAACAAAAAAACAAAAAAAAAACAAAACAAAAAAAAAGGATCACTGCTGACAGAAGTCGAGTTTATTCCAGAAAAAAAAAATGGCAGTTACTTTGTTCACTGTTGTTGCAACCACCACCATCAGATCATCTGTGATCTGATGGCGGGTCTGATGAGGAGATCACCAACAGAGACCTGCCACCGGAAACCCCGGATCTGATGGCTGGGAAGCACTCTGCCGTGATTTCCGGTGGGAGGTCTCTGTTTCTTTTTTTTTTTTTTTGCCTTTCTCCTGTTTTCTCAGCCCAGAAATTCATTTCGTAATGAACCTGTCAGGCCGCTGCCACTCAGTGTCACACGAGTGTCACACTGCTATCCGACTGCTAATGGGACCATGCTCCTGCTGCTGCCAGTGGAGGTCCCACTAGCAAAGAGGATCGGATCGAATGCCGGAATCTGGATGTGTTTTATGGAGATATGCAGAAAAGCAGTTCAATCTCGACATCCTGCACCTCTCTACAAACAAGTCCAGATTCAGGCGTTCGATCCGATCCTCTTTGCTAGTGGGACCACCCGCCAGGTCTGTACTTCAACAGCTCACTTGTGTACCAACTGAGCCCGGCCAGGATTTTTTTTTTTTTTTTTTTCCATTGTTTACTCGGGCGCGCTGTTGCTTCTGCCTTAGCCATCCTCGACAACTCCTGGGGCGTGGTCCCACTAGCAAAGAGGATCGGATAGAAATCCTGAATCTGGCCATGTTGTATGCAGAGATACAGGAAAGCAGTTCGATCTCGATTTCCTGCTCCTGTCCTCGAACACGTCCAGATTCAGGCATTCAATCCGATGCTCCCTTGCTAATGGGACCACGGCCCTGGGGCGAGGTCCCACTAGCAAAGAGGATTGGATTGAACGCCTGAATCTCGCTGCGTTTGTGGACAAGTGCAGAAATTCGAGATCGAACTCCTTTTCTGCATCTCTAACTAAAACAAGCCCAGATTCAGGATCTTAATCCAATCCCCGTTGCTAGTGGGACCATGCTCCTCCATGTGCATCACCGATCTTTTGTTATTTCTTTTTTTTTTTTTGGACCATTTCTCGATTCTCACTTTCCATCCTTGCGCAGGGGCCATGCTACCGATTTTTTCTATTTTTTGGGGGGGATTTTTTTTTTTTTTTTTTTTACTTTTTTTTTGGGGGGTTTTTTTTTTGGTGTTTTTTTTTTGGGGTATTTTTTTTTGGTTTTTTTTTTTGTGTTTTTTTTTTTTTTTTCTTTTTTTTTTTTGGGGGGGGGGGGGTT